TCTATCTTTATTTACTTCATATGAAATACAAAAAAAAGAGAAAAAGAGAAAGTGAAAAGAAAAAATTAAAGTGAATAAATCAAAAAAATATATTATTTATATAATATAAATAACGTATTTATATTTATATTATATTAAATATTATATTTTAATTAAATTCTTTGTTTGCGGATAAAAAAATATAAAAGAACTATAATGATTATTATTTCTTGTAATATTTAATTATTGAAAAAATGTATATTATGAAATTTTTATCCAATTACAATTTTGTATTGGAGAATATAATTGGCAAAAATAGGAAATAGTGACACGTAAAATTTTTCTTTAAATATTACTATATAAACACGAATTTTTTGACTTTGTGATTAGGAAAATATAATTTGAAAGAAAATGGTATATAAAAATTTGCTAGAATTTAATATATTCAATTATTTTATATCTTTTATATATACTTATCTCTTTATCACAAAAATTAAAATTGTCTTTTTAAATTTAATTACAAAATTTGATAGATTAATTATCTATGCTTTTTTTTAAGCTATTATATATAAAAATATATATATGTATATTTATAATATATTATAATTTAAATATATCGTATATATAATAGCTTAAAAAAATATATAAAACATACATCTAAAATTTAAAAATATAAAAATATGATATATAGATATAAAAAATATATATCCAATATGTAAAAGTTTAATATAAAATATAAACAATAAAATAGAAATATAATATATATAATATATCGAAATAAAACGAAAACGAAATAATCATGTATATAATATAAAAATAGAAAAATACAAAAATATATATAGAATTCGATATAATATATAAAAATATAAAATAAATATATTTTACTTATATAATATACTTTATAAATATATTTATATATTAAACAAATGAAATAAGCATTTAGTGTCAGTGGCGTCATCTTGCGGACAAATATGAAAGCTCAGTGATTTGATCACTGATAGAAACACACATATAAGATTTCATATCATAGACAGAGCAGGGAAGAAAAAATGTATTATTAACTTTGACGCAACTCCTAATAAGTACTTTTTATTATATTGGGAATATAATATTAAAATTTAATTAATTATTAATTATTCAAAAAATTTATATTTTTAAACTCATATGTCAATGTTAGAATCTCAAATAATTTATATATTCATAATCTTTTCAATTAATTATTAATTAATGATTAATACATCGTACAAACTAATACAATCGATGTGCGATATGTTTTTCAATAATTTTGCATTATTACAAAATTATTTATATTATTATATTAATTTAATAATCTAAATAATAAATTATATTAATTTATATTAATTTTATAATATTTTTTAAGATTTTATTTCTATTATTTCTATTCATCTATAATTTTTATTCATAATTTTGTTTTAAATTGATTGTTTATTACTCGATTAGAAATCGGAAATTTATGATTTAAATAAAATATTTTCTATGATAATCATTAATGAATAATCAATCAAAAAAAATTCTTGTTAAAATTTTCTTTATAAAAGAAAATTATTTGAAATTCTTTTAGAATTTTTTGATAGAAAAATAATAATTAATTAATTTTCAATATTGCCTTTCCAATATAATGGAAAATCTTATAAAAAGTTATATGATATATCCTTCAATATTATTGTTTTTATTTATAACATTAAGAATATCGCTTTGCATGTTTTATGTTCCTATTAACAAGTTAAAATTTTCAGCGTTATCCGCAACATAACGTTATCGACATTTAATATTTTTTTTTATTGTAATTTATGGGTAAAATAAGCTTTGCCAATCTATATAAAAATAAAAAAATAGAGTTTAATATGGCAATTTCATATTTAAAAGTATTTGTTTGAGTAAATGAATCTATATGCAAATGTTCCAAAAAATTCAGAAAAAAAATATAGAAATTTAAGAAAACCTAATTTAAATTTAGTTAGTTTAATAAATTAAATTTTATTTTAATAAATTAAATTTTATAAATTAATTTTATTAAATTAAAAAAGAAAATTTCTTAAAAGTTAAAATAAAAAATATAAAAATAAAAAAATATATATATATATACATATCACATAATGCAAAAAAATATAAAAGATAATATATAAAAATATAAAAATATATTACGATACATAAATAACGTACAAACACTATATGTACATATATATATGTACATATTGTATATATAATACGTTAGTAATAAAAATACATTAATTAAAATTTGTTTCGTTTATTACACGTATATTTACATTTAAAATACAAATCTTTAAAATATATTAAACATAATATATAAATATACTAAAATTTTTTAATTATATATGGAAATTATACATATTGTTGTTTATGGATAAAGATGCTGCCACCTGTCATCAGTAGCATGAACAGTGTGTTTACATATAGAAAGTAATATGAGTGAAGAGAAAAGACAACAGTGAAACGACATTTTGAGAACAATATTTTCATGATTCAAAAATATCAAAAGAAATCAAATGGCATTCTACGATAACGAACATTGGCTTTTATCACATATCAGGGATAGTTTTTTATCAACCGATAACACAGGTATATAGTAAATTTTCTTTAGGTTAAATATTAAAGATTCTTTAATGTGTAATAATCTTTAAAATTATAAATTTTATAAAATTTACTTTTATGATATTTTTTAAAGGCCAATGCGAAATGGTGATGCTTGGAGAAGATATTCCTAAACAATTAAAATCAAATGGCATGTTACAATGTTATCCTGGCATGGAAGAAAGCGATGATGAAGATCTAGATGCTCTTGCAGAATCTTATGATATACAAATGGGTACATCTTTTTTTCTAAAAATAAAAAAATATTTTTTTTTCATGAAAAATAAAAATATTTCATTTTATTATTATATAGAAATAAATATCAAAAAATCATTTAAATTTAGAATAAATATCTATGCTTTAGATATATGATTTTAATATTGATATAGATATGGAATACAGTCATAGAGAACGTACAAACACTGCTCAAAGATTAGAGAAAATGGATCTTGAAAGAGAAAAGGCTGCTAAGATCAGTGTAAAATGGAAAAATGATTCTGTTGTACCAGTCACTCAACAATCAGAATTGTTTCAAAGAAAAGATTTTCGTAAAAAAACTGGTCAAACTAAAAGATATTCTCTTTTATCTGAACAACTTGAAAAATGTCCAAATGTACCACAAAATCCATTTATAGAATATGCTAAATTTGATGGTAGTGTATGTATCTATGAGCTTTATAAATTTTAATGAAATTGCTAATTGTCATTATTATATCATTTATAATAAATTTTATTATAGGCACAAGTAGATATTCCTATAAGAAAATATAGGATATTTATGTGTATGTTACCTAAAAAACAAAGAACATATCCTCTCCATATGATTGTACTTGCTACAGCAAAAGTATTAGAATTTATTGGATTAATCTGCTATAAATATGCAAATGAACATCCAGATCATCCTTTAAAGTATGAATTCCATATGAATATAGTATATATTTAATCAATCTATAATTAATAAAAAATATATTGATATTTTAATATTTTAGAGATGATATTACAAGATATGGCTTATATTTTACTGAAGATGATGGAGAAGTTGATTGGGATTTACCCTGCTTAGATCCTAAAGAAACAATATCTAAATTTGAATTTACAACATTAGGTCTTGCAGAAATGAAACCAAGTGATAGAGCGCGACATAATATGTTTAGTTGGGTAGAATTAAGAAGTGAAGAAGATTTTCTAGAAGGTCAAAATGAAGAACAAGAAGTTGCTGAAGATTTAGCAAAAATGGAAGGACATACTACTGCTATGGAAGCTCCATTGTATCAGTCATACAGGTACTTCTTGTTTATTATTAAATTATTATTAAATTCACTAAATAATTAATAATTACTAATATGTATTTTATACAGAGTATACATAATTAACAAAGTCAGAACAAAGAGTGAAATATATCTAGGAATATCAGGTGAAAAGATTGAAATTAATCCAATAATAACTGGAAAAGGTGCAGGTCGTTTTTGGAATAGACAAAGAGCTGTTAGTTATCAAATAGATAATATTGCCTGGTGTGAAATAACAGAAACAAAAGGATCAAAAACAATTTTTACATTAGTTTATACACCACGCTCTTCTACTTCTGACATTTTAGGTTTGCTCACTTCATCTATGCAAATATATATAACAGAATTTGATCAATAATTTCAAAAATATTTTTTTTTTTTTTTTTACAGTATCATCTGGACAAATGCAGTCTTTACATCAATCTGCATCATTTAAAAATCACGAATTTGAAGCTGATTCAATGACTGCTGAAGAAATTGTCAGAAAAATAAATCATATATTGGAATTACATAATAGTACATCAAGAAAAGAATATTTATCTCAAAAGGAAAGAAAAGCAACAAGACGAAAAAGTTTTCACTTGCATAGATGACAGCTCTATTGGTTTCTGTATTCTATTTTAAGTTATTTAAAACATTAATTGTGTCAATATGATAAGAATTGAAACAAATGTTTGTTTCAATACAAATATAATTCTATTGTCATTTTTCTATTGCATGAATCATAAATTTCCTAATACCAAAGAAAAATACTTGTTCTTTGAGTACTTATGAGTAAATATTTGAGTAAATATTTACTTAATTATAATTTTTTTATTTGTTCTTTTATTTATTTTTACTTATAATATAAATATATTTATATGTAAAATATGAATTGATTTTGTACAAAAACCAAACATTTGTTTATTTCAATTATGTATAATTATATTTATTTTAATAATTAATATAAAAAAATTGTACATTTGTATAACAATAATTAATCTTGTTTTAAAAAGATTGTTTTAAAGATTATTTTCAATGTATAGCAATCTTTATAATATCATGATTCTGATATTTTGATAATTTTATCAGTAATCTTACATAGTCTTCTTTCCATTTGTGAAATGAATCTTTGATTTAATTTATAAGCTAAATTATATAACACTGATAATTTCACAAGCATGTCTGATAGTTTTTCATAATTTTTGCAAATATGTTGATAATTTGGCCGTGCTGTAACAAAGGTTTTTTCATATTCTGATAAAATATTCAAATCCAAAAGTTGTCCTTGATTTTCTAAACATAATTTTTGCTTTGTAAGATTTTTTCGTTGTGTTTTTCTTTGTTTCAAATTTTCTATCCATTCTTTTCTTTCATTTCTTAAATTAATTATATATTCTTCTAAATTAAAAACTTTTTCTTGTGTTGTATTAGATACATATTTTATAACTTCTCTATTTTCAACTGTCTCTTTATCTTCTGCATCTTTAATTATAAAACATCATTTATATTATAAATTAATTAGAAATACATCATTGATTATATCATAATATATAAAATCTCATATATCATTAAAATTATTTAAATATCATATAAAATATATAAAATAATGGATTAACTAACCTTCACATTCATCAAATATAATTTGACGACTTTGGAAAACAGAAGATCGTCGTTTACAAATAGATTTTTTATATTCCAAATCCTTTTCTACATGCGGAGTATCTAATGAATAAATATTATCCATTTTATTAATAATTCTTATATAAAAACAGATTTTACCCAAGTAAAATGTCAATCAATTTTGAATGAACCAATCACGATGCAATATTATGTTTGCTTTGGAAAACCATACAAGAAATAAAAAAATTCTTATTTACTAATATATTATTTCATTTGTAATATATTCTAATATTTTACATGATATTTTTATATGTGATGTGACAACAATTATCAATTATAAAAAAAATGTATAATATATTAAAATTATAATATTTCAAATGTTTTTCATTAAAAAATGAAAAATTTGATAATCAATTACAATGTTTCAATATTAAAAGATAAATTTTTTATTTTAAAATACAATGGAAGCAAATTTTCTATTTTTCTTTGAAAATTTGATATAGCATACGTGTATTGTACTGATTAAAAATTTAATAACATGAAATTTTAATAAATATTTTAATAAAAATGTTTAATTTTGAAACAAAATTGCAAAAATATTTCACAATATTGTATGTTAACAATGTATATTTTTTTTTAAATACTATAATATACATTTCCAAGTAAGAAGATTTCTATTCTATATTTTACAGATTTTTGAAGTTTCCAGAGATTTCTATCGTTCGTGCGTTCGTGCAACCGAACGGTTTGTAAAACGTTTGCAGTTGATTCTCAATCGTCAAGTCGATTAAGTGATATATATAACACAAAAATCTTAAATCTTGTGATTTTAACATTATAATCGAAAATATAATCGAGTGCTAAACTTTTTTTCTTACTAATAAACTTACTAATAAACGTATTGAAATTTTATTTGTGGTTATTTTGAAAGAAACAATGTCGAAAAGAGCTGACGAGGTAAGTAAAAAAATGTTTTTATTTTTTACATTACTTCTATTATTATAATAATAGAAGGGCATAACATTTTCGTATAAGGAGATAATTGTTGTGTATGTGATTGTAAAAAATAAAATATTGATATTTCGAAATATTAAATTATATATAATCACTAAATTACTTAAAATATATATTGTAATTTGTAAAAATAAAATATTAGATTTTTTTATAATTATTTAATAATTATAATAATTATAATAATTAATAATAATTAATAATAATTAACAATAATATTTTAAATAAAATTACATAAAAAAATTTCATTAAAGGAATAATCTAGAAACAACATGTACATATTTTGTTTTACAGTTAAAATTGGATATTGAAGAATTTAATAATTTACTTCAACAAGCAAGTCGTCAGAGAAGTAAAGATATTCTTAATCTTGAAATTAGAAAATTGCAAACAGAGTTAGCAAAATTAATTGAAGAAAATAAAATATCTCATACAATATCATCTAATGTAGTATCTAATTCCTCTAAAAAATGTTATGAAGTTAAACTTAATAACTATGGTTGGGATCAAACAAATACTACAGTAAAATTGTACATTACATTGAAAGATGTACATCAATTACCTAAAGAAGCTGTGATTTGTAATTTTACTGAAAAATCTTTAGATCTGCATGTTCTTGGATTAGATAATAAAAATTATAGTTTAACAATTAATAATTTATGTGAAGATATTAATACAGATAACAGTACTGTTAAAACTAAAACGGATATGGTGGTTGTGTCTCTTGCCAAAAAAATTGCTAAGCATTGGTCACATGTAACAGGAATAGAAAAGAGAATCAAGGAATCAAAAACATCTTCAGTTCCAGACATTGGTGAAGATAATGATCCTGGTACTAGTTTGATGAATTTAATGAAGAAGATGTATCAAGAAGGAGATGATGAAATAAAAAAGACAATAGCCAAAGCATGGACAGAAAGTCAGGAGAAAAAAGCTGCTGGATTATCAGATTATTCTTAATTTCATATTTATAAATATATAAGTTTATTATTTTATAAGTTATTAATGTACAAACCAATCTACATGTAAAATATTAAAATATAAAAATGCTTTTATATATAAGTTTGAATACTTATTGATTTTGTAAACAAAATTATGTTTCTATTATATAAATATTTTAAAAATGGTATATTTTTATTCAAATAAAAATCTGTATTTTTTTTAATTATTGAAAATTATATTTTCAATAATTATTGTAATATTATAAATTTATAAAGTATTTTTATTTTTTATTAATATACTGTAAATCAATTTTCCAATGTACATTGTTGATTTATCATTACTTATAATAAAACTCATACAAACAAACTTATATATATAATTATGCCTTTCAAAAATATATAGATTATTAAAAATTTAATTTACTTATATTTTGTATAACATCAATATTTATATATTAATATATTCATATATTCATATATTCATATATATATTCATTATTATAGTTATTATATATATTCATTATTTTAGTTCATGTATTTTAATTATATAATCTTATTTTAAGATCAAAAATAATATAGACAACTAATGTTTTATTTTGTAATTTTTTAAATGACATTTAATTCATTAATTTTTGCTTTAATATATACAATAATATCGAATACAATAATAATGAATACATGTTTGTGTTTTTTAAAACAATATGTATACATTATTGTTAAAATATCAAGTTATGTATATATTTTAATAAGTGATATACATATCGAAATATATTTCGATATATTTCGATATATATGTCAAAATATATTGCTTTATACATTTCGTTAAATATGTCTTAAAATATTTAATAAATCGATAATAATGATATTAATAAAAGTAAAAAAAATTAATTAATAGTAAAAAAATTAAAATATTTATAAATAAAAATTTTTAAAAAGTTTTTAATATTTTAATAAGTTTCAAAAATTCATAAATTCATAAATTAAAAATATAATATAAATTTTTTTTATATAAAAATTAAAATATAAAGTATATAAAATGTAAAAAAAATCAACATATAAAAATTTTTTATTACTTATAATTAAATATAGAAAATTTAATCTAGAATATGTTCTATAAAACATGTATGCAAATATAATAATTTAAAAAATATAGTAAAATATACATATTTAAACATATATCATTGAATAACATATAATGACTTTCTTAATACTTATATATATTATATGCAAAAGATTATTATTCTATATTCATTTATTTTAGATTATTACTCGATATTTATTTAGAAAATTATTATTTAACTTACGATATAAATGAATTATTTTAGTGTGGTAATATACTTATTTTAAAATGCTTATTTTACTTAATACAAACATAAATTTTATTTGTTTTGATGTACTTAGTTTTTTACATAATAATATATATAAGAAAAATATCCAGTCAGTAAATATATTTACAATATTATACACTAGTGACAGAATTGAGTATAATAGTTTATAAAAGTAAACTGTACGTTCAAATAGTTTTGAGATATTAAATAAATAATAATATAAATAAATAAATAAATTTATATTTTAATTAAATTAATTTAAAATTTAATTTAATTTAAACAAATGATTATATATTATATATAAATGATTTACATTTATTATAAAAATATTCTTCATATAGTTAAAATTTCTAAATTTAGGAATTTGGATAATAATAATTCAATTACAAGTTATATATTTCAAACTGATATATATTTTATTTAATGGAGTTTTATTATATACATAAAATAAAAACTTCTATAAAAAGAAGAAAAACATATATTTTTTTATAATTTATAATTCATACTTAGAGGTTATTATTATTGTATTTACAAATATAGCTTCTGACTTAAAATTAAACTTACATTTATTACTTTTGACATGCAAATTATACAACTGTTAAAAAATAAAATTTGTTTTCCTGAATTTATTTGTATTTCGAAATAACATTTTTATCAATTTTAATACATTTTAATAAGTTTTTAGTAATAAAAAAATCAAAATCTATAATCAAAAATCAATAAACAATTCATTGTGTAATATTTTAAATTTTGCAAAAATTTAATATAATAAATTACCATAATAAATATTGATATTATTAATAAATTTTAATTACTGTTATTACGATTATATTGATATTACTAATCAATGAAAGTAACTCTAAGAAAAAGCTATATAATTACTATTAGTAAATCCAATTTTGCATATCAATATAATTATTATTTATAAGAATTAGTAAAAGTTACATGAATGTGCGAATATTTATGTGCGAGACAAAATATTTTTCATACATTTTTTTTTTTATAATTACTATTTGTTTTTAGAATAAATCGGATATTGTTTATATTTATTGCTTTCTCTCAAATCTTAAAAAATTCAAGTTTTAAAATTTATCATTATAAGATTTAAAATTCTTTAATGATAATTCATATAAAAACTTTATTAAAAGTGTAAAATATGAATAAATAGTATTACTTATATGTTATATATTAAATCACGTGCATTAATGCATATGAATGAGTGAAAGCATGAAATATATATTTAAAAATGTTTATAAAATATTAAATAAAGTATATTTTATAAAACATATATAGAATTTGAATCTATAATTCGTCCAACGAGTTAAGTCAAAAATTGTAAGTACACGTAATCACCATATAAGTGAAATGAATTGAATTTACGACTTTAAAATACTTGCTATGAAATATATTTTTTGAGTATTAATATATTTATTATATTGCAAAATTATTTTTTGATAATATATAAATATATGATATAAATATAAATTCATAAAATAGTTTTTGAGATAAAACTTTACAAATATAGTTAGTTTTCATGAAAATAGATTTGTCTAGCCTATTTAGCGCTTTCGAAATGCAACATTTGTTACGTGATTTACACATTTACACGTAAATCGTTGAACGAAATACAGATTTTTATTTTTTGAATTTATCTATCTAGTTAAACTATTCAGATATATAAAATGAAATTTATTGTTCATGCTTAAACATTTTCATTTCTATAGAAAATGTTTTATTATATTTTTTTTAAGTAAGAAAAAATTAATATTTCTATTTTCATATATATATATAAAATTAATAAATTTTATATAAAGATGAATTGTGATTTACATGAAAAAATATTTGATGAAAATAAATAAAAGAAATTATGATTTAAAATTAGCTATAACAATAACTAAGTGTTTCTAGCAGATATTTTCTATACAAAATGGATAAATATTTCATAAAATATTAAAATATTTAAATTTAACAAAGTATTGATAAATAAAATAGAGAATATTAGTTTTTGATTTATAAGCTGAGACTTAATTATGATCAAGATATGAATGAATATAAAATTTATTTATACAATAAAATAACTGCTTTACTTTAGGAAGTAGCAGAAGCATTTGAAAACTGTATTTCACGACTAGTTGTATGAAAAGCTTCCATCATAATGTTTCGTGTTATTTCCATTAAATGTTCAGTATCATCTGTTTTTAATCCTTTTGTAGATATTGGTGGTAATGTTGTTATAATAACACGACCTTAAGATTATTAGTTCTAATTAATATTTGTTATTAGTTTATTATTAATCTAATTAATATTTATTAGTTTACTAAGTTTATTATTTAAATTATTCATTTATATGACAAAAACTTACCAGGATCAAATTTTTTTTCTTCAGAAGATAAAAAATAATAAGAGGAAAATACAACTGGTAATATAGGTAATTGAAAACGTATAGCAACATGAAAAGCACCTTTTTTAAATGGATAAATTTTACCAGTATTGCGTCTAGTTCCTTCAGGAAATATCCATAATTTTATCTATATAAAAGATATATAATAGTAGAAAAAATAAATATATACAGCACTATAAATTATTTTTTGAATTTTTGCATCAAATAAATTGAATTACCTTTTTTTCTTTAATATAATTTGTAGCATTATTAATAACTGAATGAGCTTTTTCTGAATTCATTCTATCTATAAATATCATTCCACAAAACCAAGCGGCTAAACCAAATGGCCATGCATATAAAATTTCTTTTTTTCCTACAGCTGTACACTTTCCCATTATTGGCCATATATTAAACATTCCCAATACATCTAAAGAACTTTGATGATTTGCTACTATTATACATGCTCTTTCTTGTTCTAAATGTTCTTTCCCCCTTAATTCCCAATGTACTCCTAAGAATTTAGTAAGCCAAGAACACATAAGTGATCCTAATCTAAAATTATATTTCATATGTTATTTACAATTAATAAAGTATTATTAATTAGTATAAATAAAATAAATTATTATAATAGTGACAAAATTATTGACAAATGGTGGATTATTTTTTAATTTGTATAAGATATGGTATATAATTTTCATAAGTCATTTTTTAATTATTCTTTTTTTATATATTATTAATTATTTGCTATATATTACATACATTGAATAAAAAATAACAAAATGTATAAAAATTATATATAAAATAAATCATATATTAAAATAAAACTTAAATATAATAATTAAAATATGTACTTAAATAATTATATATTATTTTAATTGAAATATAAATATCTAAATACTAAAAATTACATATGTAAGCTTTTTAAATTTTTTTTTATATTTTTATTTTTTTTAAAATTTTTGTTAGATTTTATATTTAACATTTTTATATAAACACTTTACCTTTTATATATTTTTAATATTTAAATTTGCTTCTCTTTAAAATTATTATATATAAATTAAAAAAATTAATTTTACAATTTATATTATTTTTTAATTTACATGATATTTGTAGGGTGTTTCAAATAATTATCGTCACTGTATTGGAACTGCCGCTCATAGGCTATATCACCACCGTTCAATAAATTTGTCCTACAACATATCGTTTTTAAAAAAAAAATTAATCAAAATAAAAATACGAATAATGAAGTGGGTAAAATAGAAAAAGAACAAAATAAAACACAAAAGTAGTAAAGTAAACAAAGTTTATATTTTCAAAATTAGTATAATTACTAACAGATAGTTTTTTACGTTCCTTGGTCGTAACATCAGAATTGGAAGCAATAAAAATGAATTTATCATCATATATCCACAGTAGAACGAAATCTTGAAATAATAACGAAAAGTTCTGCTCATTTCGTATAAGAATGGTAAAATAAGGATGAAACCGACAAGGATCACCTCGAAACATGGTGGTACCATTTTTTATAGCGAAAAAGGGCGGACACTAATATGTCTCTATATTTTATCACAAAATTAGTATTACGGATACACCTCTCCACAATCTTATTTGATATGATTTTAAATAATATAAAATATTATAAAAAATATGTAAAGACTTTTATTCATTGGTTATTTTATTCAACCATTTGTGTTATTCGTTCACGTAATTTTAACTGATCTGTACATTGTTCTAAATACTATACTTTATTCTCACTTTGCATTGATCTCACTTCTAAATTCACTTTTCACCTCTCAATTATTTATTTTAAAAAATTTTAAATTTTCACGGTTTTATATAATTATAGTTTGAAGCTTCCGGTTATAAACCATATGATGTGATATTAACCCCTAGTGAAGATATCAGCAACGAAACATTGGAATAAAATTCCTATATCATTTAACTTTTTACCTCATTACGTTAACAAAATATTAAGATAAAATTTTTATTATAATATACATACAAAAGTCATACAACAATTTTATTTGTTATAAATTAAAAAAAATTTATATATCTATTATATATTATTATCTATAATATATATATTAGTGTTATATCTTATTATCTTACTGATTAAAAATATCTCGTCTTTATTTTAAATATTTTAAGTACATATATACATCATTATTATTTTAAACATTTTAACATATATATATATATATATACATATAATATAATTATATGTTATAATTATATGTATATATATATATATATATATATGTTATTATTCATATATTTTTAAATATTATTTTTATTAGTTAAAAATTAAAGAATTAAAAATTAATACATGTAAATTAAAAAATTAAATACATGTAAATATATGTAAATACATTGTATAACAAAATGATAAGACACAATCTAAATTTTTAATATTTCTTAAAATGATATATACAATTATTTTTATATTATTATACAAAATACATATATTTTTTTGTAATAATAATCGAGAAATTAACTATTTTTCACTATTATTATTTTTATTGTTTTTCAATAATTATCTCTATTTCTATTAAAAAATTGGTATGAAAATATCATAAAAAAATTATAATATTTGATAAATTATTTTATATATATATTATTTCATTATAATTACAAATAATTTAAAAATTATTTTTAAAATATTAATTTTTACATGTTAAAATAGAATAGAAAGTTAAAAGTTAAATTAAAAAGTTAAATTAAATAAAAATAAAATAAAAATAATTTTAAACTAAAGTAAAAAGACAAAAATATGTGTAAAATATTTAAAAAAATAAGCAAAAATTTATTTAAAAATATTAAAAATTATATCAAAAAATAAAAATTGTCTACATATTATAAGTTTAATAAATATTATATGAAATGCTTAATTTTAAAAATTGAAATTTAAAAAGAATTAAAAAAATTTATAAATATTTAAAAAAAGAAGAAAATTTAAAAGAAAATAAAAATTTTATTAAAAAATTATTATTATAAAAAATATACATCCACTATTGAATAATATTCGCTTGAGAAAATATAAGATAAAAGAAAATAAAAATATTTTCAAATAAAAAAGATTTATATTCTAATTATAGCTAATTATATATTTTTTTTATTATTAGAGAAAATCGGATATAATTAATCAACAAATAGATAAGAGAATTACGATTAGAAAATAATTAATAAAGAAAAAACTAATATATTTGGTTATTAATATAAATATAAAAAAAGTATAGATCATAAAAAATGATTTTTTCATTATAAATGAAAAAATGCAAACATAAAATGAATAAAAATTCACATTTCAACAGAATAATTTTGTATACAATTTTGTATATCGCTAAAAATTATTTTTATAAATTTTATTGGATTTAAGTATTATTAAAAACTTGCAAAAATAATTAATTAAAAATATATGTATGATATGTTATACATATCAAAAAGTAATTTCAATTTTTTTTTAAAAATAGCTAAAAAATTCAGAATAGTTAGAAATAAATTTTAAAAGAAAAATTTTTATCGAATTTATTTGAATCGTTTATACAAGATTTATTTCTAAAAAGACATTAGAAATTATATAAAAAAAAAAAGAAAGTTTAGTTTTTATTAACAAAATTAGAATAAAACCTTTTATGTTTTTAATTTTTTCCCATTTCCTATTATTAATAAGTTCTTTTATTTTGTTGCACTCACATAAACGAATATAATTTTTATTAATAATTATTGTTATAATTATTTGTATGTTATTAAAAAAAATAATACTTTTTATGTAACTATATATATAAAATGTACAATATTTGTATACATATTATTAGTTTTAACAAACATTGAAATTTAGAGATGTTTATGTTTCTCCTATTATTTTATGTAGACTAAATAAATATGAACTTCTACGTATGAGGTCGTGACAATCTACAAAATATTATATATGAAATTCTCTTTTGAATTTTTAATTAGTGCTCTTAGTCTTATTTTTTAATTAATAAAAATAATACTAATTTTTTATTTTTTTAATTGAATAAAATTATATTTATGATTTGTATAATAATAGTATTGATTAATAATATTGATGATACTTAAATAATTTTATATTTAAGTATTTAATTGAAAATATTAAGACAATTTATTCAAATTTTAAATATTATGCATTAATTTTCTATACTAATATTTTTTGTATGAAATTAATAATATTTAAAATATTTTATTATAATATAATTCAAATTTTTCTAAATCTGTATGAAATCATATATAAATCGATAAGAAAAGACAGTTGCTGATTGGCTACAATATAGTATATTTTTTTTCGACATGTATTTAATATTTGTGTTATGGTTTTATATTAATTTCAATATAAATGTTAAATTATAAATTTTAATAGTTAAAATGTTTTTTTAAATATATCATTGTAACTTTTTTAATATATAACTTCATATTTTTAAAAGTTCAATTATAATATTATCGTAAATATTTTGATAGTTTGCGCGGCAAATAGAGAGAGATATAAGGTTTTGAATTGTACTGACTATTGTCTATTTTACAGGTAGGTTAGTTTTTCGAGTACTTAGTAGTGTGGTGTTTGGTTCTTTCGTGAATTTAAAAAACTTTTGGTATAATTCAAAACCTAAATTAAATTGTAGTAAAAAAATTCAATATTTAATATAAATATTTTAAAAATTTTTATCACATTAGGCAAATATTATAATTAAAAATAAATTAATAAATTATCTATTGTTTACAATTTTTGTGAGTTTGATTTTAAAAATTATTTAATAAATAATTTTTTGTATATTAAAATATAAAAAATATAAAAAATTATTCAACTTATTTACAGAGTGGAATATTTATAAGTGAGTGGTTGATAGAAATTATAGATTATTTAATTAAATTAAATATTTTAAAATGCAAGTAAATTCACAAAAACGTGAGAATACTCAAACTACAATATTAGCATTATTACTTACACATAAAGGAGGATGTACTCTACGGCAGTTAAATAATGATTATTATGAAACAGAAGGTGAATATATACCATGGAAAGAACTTGGATATAGCTCTTTGTTAGCTTTTCTATATAGTATGTCAAAAACAGTTCAAATAGAAAATAAAAATAATACATTTATTATACAAGGAATTGCTTCTGAAAAATCCAAACATGTTAGTAAATTAGTAGCTGGTCAAAAATGTCAGAAACCATTTTTTGGAAGAAAATTTTATAAACCAAATCATTATTTTCCTACAACTGCTCCTCCTCGAATTCGTATACCAGCTGAGATATTAAGTAGGATAATCAGTTTAGTTAATGATCATCCAGATGGCGTAAATAAATATTATGTCCTTCAAGAAATTCATTTGTGCATGCCTTTTGCAAACATTACTATGAAAGACATGGAAGAGCAATTACAGGAATTATCACATACGATTTTTCAAACAAGTACTAAAATTTATCCAATACATGCTAAAGTTAAAGGATTTAATAATTTAAAAAATTATAATAATATGACTTCTAATTCTAAATCTCAAAATGGAGAAAAATATAAATCATTATCTGTAACTGTTGCTGGAGATGAAGATTCAAATGATATATTAAATTATGATGAAGAAGATATTTTAGAGTTTTCACATTCTGATTCTTTTTATTCAAAATCAATTAAAAGTAAATCTACATCAAGCTTTATAAAAGAAACTGTATTTAAATATCAAGATCAAGAGACAGAATGTCTCCAGAATGAAACTCCAAAAACTCAACATAATAATGATACTCAAATTCAGATGAAATTGAATAATAGTATTGAAAAGGATGAAGAAAATGTTTTAGATAAAAAAAATGTTGAAATACTTATAAATGAAAGAATCAAATTTCGTTTGGAAAAACTTATACAAAATCATCATGATGGAATTTGGTGTGCTGATCTACCAAAGAAATATCTAGAAGAATATAAAGTATCTTTGAATTATGAAGAATTAGGTTTTAATAGTGTTAGAGAATTTGCATCACAATTACCTGATATCTTTCATTGCATTCAGCCTCATAATGCAGGAGATTTTATGCTTTATTATGCAAAAAGAGAAATACCTTCAAATAAAATAAAAGAGAATGATAAAATTAATAATATTACAGATTGGTATAACATTTATGAAACAATTGATGAAGAAGCACTTCCAGCAGAAGTGGTAAAGATTTTTCTTTGAATATAAAAATTTTACTAATTATTGATTAAAATTCAATAATATTAATTTGATAATATTAAATTTTTAGTCACCTGATACATGTAAAATATTAATACCAGATAATGTAATGAGTATTGGAGAATATGTAGGTTACATAAATGTTGCAGATTTAGCACAAAATGAGGAACCTTTCATAGAAGTTTTTGTTGTAGAAGTATTTACACCTTCATTTTTTTGGATACAACTTCGTAAAAAACAAAAAATATTTATAAAGTTTATGGATGACTTACAGTATGTATGATTAAAATAATGCTTATATTATTATAATTGTATTATAATTCATTATTCATATATATTAATAATTATAATCATTATAATTCATTATGTATTATAATTCATAATATCTATATTAATAAATCTATATTATATATAGATTATATAATATTAATAAATTTATATTAATAATTGCTTTTTTACAGTAAATTTTATACAATAAATCATGAGCAATATGTGATTCCATTAGTTGTACTAGAAAGAGGTTTAAATTGCGCATGTATATATAATGGGTTATGGCATAGAGGTATAATCAAAAGTGTAAAACCAGATTTACAAGTCACTGTAAGTATATATATAACTGATTGAGATTATTGTAATTGTATGTAATAATCATGGTTGATAACAATTTATTATAGGTAATGTTTTATGACTATGGAACATTAAAAACATATTCTCCAGGAACAGTATATTACTTGCATAGAATGTTTTCCAATTTACCAGCTCAAGCAATACCATGTGGTTTAATTAATACAAGACCATATAAAGGATCTAAATGGTCTCGTGGTGCTACTTATTATTTTGCAGTAAGAACATCTAAAATACCTTTAGTTGCAACAATTGCATCAGTTAATATAGAGGTAAGAATATTATTAATATAAATATAAACAATTTAAATGATATTTACTTTAATTATATTTTTATTAATTTTTTTAAAAACAATTATTAATTCAATCATTCATTAGTAGTTATTTTTTATTTTAGGATAATTCTATGATAATAAGTTTGACTGATACATTGGAAGAAGAAGATGTACATATTAATGATTGGTTAGTTGAACAGAATTTAGCAGAACATGGAAAAATGGTTTGTATGAAAAAACGAAATTTTCCATTTCAATATTATTTAGAATGTCAAAAACGTTTTAAACAATATAAATTTAGTAATACTCGCGAAATGGAAATAAATTCTGAAAATAAAACACTACTATATAATTTAAATTTTGATGGGAGTTTATCTCATAATAATAATTCTAAAAAAATAAATAATAATAAAGAAAATTCATATAATGAATTAATATTATATAAAGAAAAAGCCAAGAAATCACAATCTCTTGAATATAATCACTCTTGCAAAAATGATTTTTCAAACGAAAAAATAAATAGCTTTACAATAAATTCTGAAAAAAAAAATACAAAAAAAATAGAATCTTTGTATGAATTATTAAATCTTAAAATAAAATCTATTCATTCTAAAATTAATAATAATAATCATATTAATAAAATTAAAGAGAGAGGAAATGAAAGATATTTAGAATCTAGTTTGATATTAAATAATCCTATTGTAAAAAAATTGTACGAAAAATCTGATAGTACTAAATCTAATATTTCATCAGTTGTTAAAAATATAAAAAATGATATCTCTGATATCAGTAGAAATACTGATACTTTATCTCTATCTGCTAAAACCAAAGAAAATAGTGATATGTCAAATGATACTTCATTGATTACTCTATCTACTAAAAAAACAAAAAATAATGATGTATCAAATACTGATACTTCATCAATTATTTTATCTGCTAGAAACAGAAAAAATAATGATGTGATAATAGATAACAAATACGATATTTTACAAAAACATAATAATATTCCAAAACAATATGCTTACCATTTTGATGTACATACTTCAGAAGATGAATTAGATTTTAATGATATTAGAAAGTCTATTGGTACATGCAATGAAATATATAAAACAGAATATACAGATTGGTCTGTTATTGACAAAAAACAAGAAAAAAAATATTCACAAGAAAATGTAGTTAAGGTACCACATGAAACAAGTTTTCGAAAAAAAAATATACCAATAGCTGAAAATTGTTTTATAAAAGCAGTATATAATAGTTCTTATTCAACTTTGAATGATAAAGATATACAATGGACATCAGCTGGAAATATTAATAAAACGTCAGATGTATCTCCGTTAATTATAAAAAATATTGAAAAACGTAAAAAAAATATTTCAAATAATATGACAGTTGTTATACCTCAGAAAATATTGGAAACGTTAACAGATGAAAAATTCTCTGAAAAATTACCTAATGTACCTAAAAATATAGAAGAAATTCAATCAATTAATTTACAAGAAATTGATAATGTTAATAATTTAAAATATACAAGTAACAATGATATATTTCATAATACAAATTTTAAAATACATTCAGAAGATTACAAACAAAATGATTATATTTGTATGAAAGCAATTTCTAAAAGGAAATTATTAGAAAAATTATTGTCATTAAAAGATATATCAAACGATATTTTAAACATAGATTCAGATGATTTAAGCACATCACAAGAATCTATATTATCTGAATATAATAATGATAATAATAATGATAAATATACAAAAGAAGTATATAAAAATGATATAAATAATGAAGATACATCAAATGAATCCTCGAATTCGAAAATTCGCCCTAAATGTCTTCCATATTCTGTTGAAGCAGATATAACAGATTTATACACACAAGAGTCATCACTTAAATCTATGAATAATGATTTAGATTTATATAAGAAAGAATTTTCAGAAACTTCATCAAAAAGTTTATTTGCAAACAATACAGAATTAGTAGAATATGTGCCATCAGATTCAATATTATCACAACAAACTACAGAAGAATTCGATTTAATAAAAAAATATAATTCTTCAGAAAAACCATTATTAGATATGGAAATAAAAAAATCAGAACAATTATTAAAAGAAGAATCAATATTAAATGAAGAAATCACACAAACACAAATATCATCTAAAAAACTAGTATCAAAATCATTTATGATTAGTAATTTAGATATAAATGAGGAAGAAATTTCAGTAACTTCATCAAAATCATCCGAATTTGTAAACAATTTAGAATTAGCAGAATATGTGTCATCAGATTCAACATTATCACAAAAAATTACATTAATAGAAGAGTCTGATTTAATAAAAAGATATAATTCTATAGAAAAATTATTAGATGTAGAAAAAAAAGAATCAGAAATATTATTAAAAGAAAAACTAATATTAAATGAAGAAATCAAACAAATAGAAATATCATCACAAATAATAAGAGAACCAACATCAGAATTTATGAATAATAATTTGGATGTATATGAGGAAGAAACTCCAATAACTTCATTAAAATCATCTGAATTTGTAAACAATTTAGAATTAATGGAATATACGTCATCGGATTCAACATTATCACAACAAATTACATTAACAGAAGAGTCTGATTTGATAAAAAAATGTAATTCTGTAGAAAAATCATTAGATGTAGAAAAAAAAGAATCAAAAGAATCATTAAAAGAAAAATCAATTTTAAGTGAAGAAATCACACAAACACAAATGTCATTTATAAAAGAACCCTCTAAAATTTCTAACATACCAATTTTAAATGATATTAATATAGATTCTGATGAAGAAGAATGGGATGTTCAAGTATCATATGTTGATGTTTGTAATCTTTTTAAAAAATCGTTTAATGAAAATAATCAGAATCAATTTGATCATAAAGAATTTAATTCACATCTAAAAATAGAAGAAATAAATGATTCTGAGTCAATTGAACATACAAGCAATACAAAAATATATGAAGATGCAAAAGCTAATCATGAAGTTATATATTCAGATAATCAAAACTCAAATAAAATCACTGATATTCAAATTTATGAAGATGCAGAAAGTGATACTCATGAAATTATATATGCTACAGATAAAATAGCTAATCAAAATAAAACAGAAAATGTAATGAATCAATGTATAAAATATGAAACTCAGATGCCTATAATAGATTCTGAAGTGACTTCAGAATTAAATAATAAATATACATTTAATTTAAATAATACTATATCGTACAAATTACAAGGTAAAGCAAAAACGTTAGTAGAAATGTTAAATAAAGCAAAATTAATGCAAAAAGATTGTTGAGAAATAAATATTGAATAATACAAATTTTTAAATTTTAATTAAAATATTTTTATTTGTAATTATCTAATATTATTTTGGATTTTTTGTAAAAAAACTTTATTTTATTACTCAAATCAAACATTAATCAAGAAAACATATATGAAAAAGTATATTTTTTTCGAGCTCGCTTGATTGAAATTTTGTTTAGTGATGAAATAAAATTTTTACAAAAAAACTCTACAGTGATATTGAAAAAAAAATGCAGAAAAATTATTAAATAAAATATTTATTTATATTTATAGAATAATTTGAGTTTTCTGATTTTTTAAATTTAAACTAGTTTTTACTTTTGTTTTTTTTTTTTTATACATTGTGTATAATTAAATATATGATATAATTTATGAATCATTTATATATTTAATCATTTATGAGTTTTAGTTCAGTTAATAGGAATTTATGTTTATATGAAAGAATTCCATCAAACATTTATTTTAAAATATTCTAAATAATAATAGTATAATACTTAATGATTGTAAAATATTATTGTACATTATTATTGTTATGATAGAAGAAAACGATACAATAAAAATGAACAATAAAATTTATTAACTAGCCATGATTAGAATCATATCTAATCATTGAAAAAGATATATTTTTAAGAAAAATTGGAATATCAATTTTTTTCTATAAATGAGCGCATACACATTAGTTACAATTAATTAACGAAGAATTAATGTAGCGCGATTATAAATTTATTAAAATTTATTAAAATATTTTAAATGTTGAAACATATCATTTATATGATATATTTTTAGATTAATAAAATGTCTGACTTTTGTTTAAAAATAAAATAGAATTTGAATATATTTTTTTGTTTTCATCAAAAATATGCATTTTAATTTTATAACAATTATTAAATGAATTAGAATTTAAAAAATTGTCAAATTTCAAAATTAATTCACAAATAATTTTTATAATTTAAGATTTCCAATATTTTTATAAACTATCTTACAGTTCTATGCATGAGTATATCAATAGCTTATGATTGTTATTAATTTATGATATTAATTATGATTGCATTTATCTTTCAATTTACTATACATTTATTTACTGTAATTATTTAATTACAGTATTGTATTTATATAACTTAGTATAACAGATTCTTTTTTATGTTTTTTGGGAAAAATACGACCTTTATGTTATGGAAAATCTTGTATTATTTTTGTTACAATAAAAATATTTAGATAAAAAATCAACTGTCTACATTTCACTATATACCAATAGTTTTATAATTTCTGTAATAACTCATAAAGTGATAATTTTTCCCAAACTAATTAATTTAAAGGGATATGTACTAAATAATAAATACATAAGTGCATGTATTAGAACATTATTTGATATTTTTTTACTGTTTTTTAATTAGGTAGATAAAGTTGATATGAGTAATTTGTTGCTTTATGTGGAAGAAAATTTAATATTATCACCGGAACAATTTTATGAAGAAGAAGAAACTAATACATCTAATGATAATGAAAATTTATCTGATAATGCCATTAATATGCCTTTGATATCACCACAAAGTACTTTAAATGATGAGCTTTTTAAGCCTTCATCAGACTGCATATCGCTTGATGAACAAAAAAAGTTACAAATAGAAGAAGACATTCAAGATCATACTTTTCAAAATAATTCAACATCTAATATATCTACTTTTAATAAGAATAATACTAATCCATTTATACAAGATGAATCTCTTTATGATCAACTTAATGATGATATAAGTCCTCAAAAATTTATGCAGTTATGGCAAGAAAACATGCAAATACAAATGCAAATAAGTGCAACACTTAATATACTTCTTAATAAAGTAATAGATTCTACAAAAAATGTAAATGATAATTTAACGAGTGATGAAAGTACTTTAAATATAATAAAAAATGCATTTTTACATGCTAATAAAAGAATGCCAATATTTACAGATTCCTCAAGTACAAACATTACAAATACACAAAAAAATATATTTTTTTCAAATGAAAATATTAATAAAGAAAAAAATACTGCTATAAATCAGCAATCATCTTATACTGATTATTTTCAAAATTCTAATATTCAAAATTTTTTAATGTCTACAAATAATGTTTTTGATACAATAAATCAATCTTTATCAAATCAAGAGATATCAGATATTCCTCTAGGATTTGAAAAATATAATTGTAAATCTTTTGGAAATAATATTGATTCTGATCAAATATCTATGGAAGATTCAATAAATGATAAAACATCTTTGAAAGAAACAAATCCTTTTAGACTTAGTTTAGCAGGTAAATTACAAATACTTGATACGCAAGAAGAAAATTCTTCATGTTCTAATGAAGATGAATTATTACATGTTCTACATAAAAATTGCGATGCGATTGTGAAAGAGCATGATTTGATAAACTGTGAGAATGATAATTCCAAGATTAATTATACAAATCAACTTAATCATAATGATTCATTTGCATTAAATGAAAAATCTTTTAATTTAAATGTAGATGAAGTTATAAATACAACGTCTAAAATTACTATTGATGATGAAATTACACAACATAGTATTTGTAATAAAGAAATGGAAAAATCATTTATATTAAATACAAAATCTTTTAATTGGAATATAGATGAAGTTATTAATACAACATCTAAAATTACTACTGACAATCAAATTACACAACATAGTATTTGTAATAAAGAAATGGAAAAATCATTTACATTAAATGCAAAATCTTTAAATGTAGATGAAGTTATTAATACAACATCCAAAATTACTACTGATGATCAAGCTATACAACATAATATTCGTAATAAAGAAATGGAGAAACATTGTTTTTCACCGTCAAAGAAAACTCTTATTGATAGTAATTTACAATATGTTGAAAATGCATACAAACATGAGCCAATTACAATTGATACTTCTAATTTTAATCAATCTTTATGGAAAAAACATACTGAATTTGTTGTATCAGGAGAAATTCCAAATTGTAAAACTATTAATGAAAATATTACATTTTTTCCAAATTATGATTCAAGTAATTATATATCTTCAACTTTATTGCATGAGCATAGTTCAGAATATTCTACATTAGCAAATACGAATATTAATGGAAAACATTTAACACATACATCTACTTCTCATACATTATATAGTTCATCTCCAATAATAGAACTTAATGAAGTGCAATATAATAAAAAATCAATAGCAAATTCAAATAAAGTAAATAATATATCTACCAAAATATTATGTAAACCACTTAAAGATACTACTCAATTAAAAAATTGTAATAAAATGTATTATTCTGAAAATAACGATGAAAAAGGAATATGTAATAAGATTCAACAGGAAAATAATTATGAAAATATTTTAAATTTTGAAGTTAATGCCAATGCTATGGAAATGAAAAATTCATATTCAAAAAAAACTGAATTAAATACTATTGAAAATGCCACATGTATTCCAGAATATTTATCCCTGAATCATAAAATATTATTTCAAATAGTTGGTATGTTATAACAAATTAATTAATTAGTTATATTTTTTATATTCTCTAACAGATATAATTATTCTATCATTTTTCTAGCATTACCTAAACAGATAGTGCATATATTTCACTATCAAGAAGAAGGATATTTATTAGTAGATGAGTTTATTGAAATATTTAATGAAACAGAAAAAATTTTAGATATGATAAACTTATTACATACATTCAACATACGTGTACAATTTAAAGAAATTGATAGAACTAAGAATTCTCTACAATTCATAAAAACTAACAGGTAATCATTACAAATTTTATTAAAATTAATGCTTTTTATTTGATAAATATAAAACTATAATTCTTTTAGCACAATGTCAAAAGCAACATATGATATAGTAAATGGTACTAATAAACTATATTTAATGTCTTTGAAATTAGCTCTAAAAATATTACATAAATTGGAAATTATTTCACAAAAAGATATTGCTGATATTTTTATAAATGAAATATTTTTAAATGATTCAAATGTACATAAAATTTGGGTAAATATTATATATTATTATTATTATTATTATTATTATTATTATTATTATTATATTTTATATATATTATATATAACAATTCTTTTTTAGTTAATTACCAATGCATATAAACTATTTAAATATAATATTGAAATGGGCAATAATTGAATAAGTGCTATATATATTTTAAATAATATGTAACTATAATATGTATATTAGGTATTAATCTAATTTTTGTAATACTTATATTTACATATTTTGTTACTTATACAAGTTATGTAAGATGAATAATTTAAGAAAAATAACAATATATTTTTTCAACATATGATTTATATGTAATTATATTGTGATTATTTGAAGATTAAGTCATTGATATACAGTAAAAGTTCATTTATTTAAATTCATTGGAGGACAAATAGATCATATAATAGTTTATAAACTATCTATATATCTAACTATTTTTCGTTGTTAAGAATAGAAATTTATGTTTCAAATATGGATTTAATTGGCAAGATTTTATTTAATCAAATATTAAATAAAATTTCACTTCAGTAAATAAAGTTCTATTGTATTTTACAATTATATATAAATCAAAAATTTCATTATAATTTATTTTTTATCATAAAACAAATATAAAAATTATTTAGATATTGAAATATAAATGACAAATTTTATGCATGTTTATATACATAAATATTTGCATTTTTTTTTTCCTTTAAATATCCATTCCTTTTTAAATATTTGATGAAGATATTTAACGTGAATATTAAGTTCAATTTTGATATTAATTTAAATTCAAATAGCTTAAGAACATAGCTAATTACGAAACATTTGAAAAATTTTTGAAATAAGAATTATTAATATGATTCTTTTATACCGCCAAGTATCATATGCACCCTCTAGTGATGGTTTTTAGACTTAAGTAAAAAACGTAAGGAGGAACTTGCATTGATTCGAATTATATCAAAGAGATAAGTGATATTTTACTTTGAATTTTATATTAAATACTTTAATTTTTTTTTTAAATATAATGGCAAGTTCAACTGATCCAGAGCCAAAATTAACTGGCTTTGCAAAATATTATAATAGTAGTACTACACAAGGTCGAGCAAATGTAAGTAACCTCAAAATTTACCTTTTCCAGTGTGGTTTTCTAAAAATCTTAAAAGTTATATATAAATTTTAATTTCATTCTTTTCTTTTTTTTACAGGTAGCTTTAACAACTATTGGTGGATTAGTTGCTTTAGGTTTATATTTGTATTTTAAACCAAAAAAAAGTAAGCAAGTATCTGAAAAGTGATTTCAATATTAAATGATATAGACACATTATGTAATAATAATTTTTGTGTTATATTACTTTTATTAGGAATAAAAAATTATTCATTATTCATGGATTAATAATGATTGATTATTCATAATTAATAATATCCTATTGTATATTATTATTATTCATGTTAAATAGCATGAAAAAATATATTATAATTTAATATGTTCTTAAAAATTTGAAATGCTATGTATAAATTAAATAAATATGTAAATATAAAAATTAATTTCATTATATATCTCTATTATTTTTATAAATTGCTTTTTATAAATTTATAATATATAATTATAATTGATATAGAGTATTATTAAAATATAATATAAAAAATATATTAAATTAGTGAAAGCTAATTAGAACATTTATAGATAAAAATCATAATATAGATGTACATCATGAAAAAATAAAATAAATAAATTCATTAGAGAAGAAACCATATAATTAATTTGTATTAATAGAATTTATGATTATTTTTATTATGAAATCACAAGAATTTTGAATTTAATTATTTATTAATTGAAGTTTTGGGATTAAAATACAACATATATATCTATATGATTCATATTAATTTTTATCATATAACTATGAGAGCGTTTTTTTTTCCCTCTATTTGATCCTATATCTTCTCTAGATATTTTAAAAATAATACAATTTCATTATTTCATAATATTTTTATGTTTTCAATTTAAATCAATCTAAATACATAAAAAAATGATCATCAAATCAATTATACTTATTTTTATTTAATATATATTGAAAATTAAATTTAATTTATTTACTATATTTATATGTTATTTGTAACATTTTATATTAACTATAAAAATTTATGTGCTTGCTTGTTACAAGTTACAAGAAATCGAACGAAATATACATTTAATATCTAATATGCTTCTTTCAATATATTAAATATATTTAACAAAATTATACGAAATAGAAGAATTTATTTCGAAAGAATATAAAAGAATCTAAAAGATTTACTTATAATAAATGATTTCAGGTACATATTTATATTACATTCTAAACTACTAAGGCGTAAGATTTTTATAAAAAATATTTTTTAAAATAAAAATATATTAAAACATATATATTTTTTTATTTTATTATATTTTGAATAAAGAATATCAACGAAGAATGTATAGAATGTATTTATTTTATATAAAGATAAGACATATCTTATAATGATAAACATAAATATCATTTGTTCTTTAATTTTGTATAATTTTAATAAGCATAATATACCTTAGTATTTTAGAATAATAAGCGAATTATAATAAATATAATATTTTTATGTGTTTGATATTTCGAACAGACAACAGACACTCGCGCACACACATATAAATATTTTATTATAAATAATATTTCGAAACATTCGAATTCATTCGAATCTATACGATCTAAATATTTACTTATCTTTTTATTTATTATTTTTCAATATAAAAATGAATTAACTTTTATTTAAATTGAATTTGAATATTTATTTACAATATTATTTTTAATTATTTCAAAAATGAATAAACAAATTTTGCATAGCATTATGTTCAAATTTTATTAAAAAATTATAATTCCAATATTTTAATATTTTTTTGATCATTTATTTTTCCACAAATTATTTTTTTAAAAAGATAATTATTATTTAATATTATTGGATATATTTTGTTTTTCATACATCAAGTGTATGTGAATGAAAAATTTTATTATCGCCAAATATTAAAATAATATAGTTTATGAATGTATTTACAATTTTCTAAAATCTTTGTGCGTTTTAATGAAAAAGAAAAAAAATTTTTTTTTACACAAAGATTTTATTGTCTATTTATATTAAACAATTTTATTTTTATATAAGGTGATCATTTATTTTATATGTTTTGTAATAGATACATAAATACACATTAATTAATATTAGGTTTATTATCACAATATTTTTTTTCTAAATATTTTTTGATATCGACAATTATATCTTTTGAATTTTATTTTCGTTTTAAATATATTTATTATGTTTTTAAACATAATAATTTTACATATTATAATTTCTTATTTTGATGATCAAATGCTTCTTATACAATATATACATTATGAAGCAATTTTATAAATATAATAAAATATATTGCACTTGTAATGTCAATAATTATTCAATTCCAACAAAAATTTAATCAAATCAAATCATTAATCAATTATGAATTTATTTTTTAAGATATTTCTAATTTAAATTAAGTTAATAGGATTATTATTAGATTTAATAGCATATAAAAATAAATTTAAAATTATTCGATGATTTTATTTGAATATTAATATTTATCGATGATAAAGATAAACATTTATACTTTCAAACTTAATCGAATGTATTCGATTCAAATGGTTTTCATTTGTAAAAAATTTTCTCATTTTATTTTGCCTAATAAAGAAGTATTCGTTGTTGTTGATTAATAACTGGTCGATTTATTGAAATTAAATTATTTAAAATTTTTTATAGCGTAGAATCTACATCTTTTTTATTCCATCCATTTTGCGCGTTCGATATTCTGGACATCTGACTAGGACTTCTTGCAGGATAATAAATACAAGGTCCTGGACTGGCAGGTCTTCCCGACATTTTGACACTCTGTCGTGTACTACCATTTGAAATATTGTTATTTCTATTGATAGTACTCGATCTGTTAAGGTGACAATGTCTGATAGAGTTTCTTTCTATATTGGTCATATTAGTAACGATTGATTCGTCATAATGGAATTCTGGACTATCTCTTCCAGGTCCGAATAGTTTTGAACTGCAAAATAACTTTAGAAATATCCTCTTGAATTTTCTACCGAAGATCACGTAGATAATGAAATTGATACTACTATTAATTGTCACAAGAAGATTGCCTGTCTGTACCAGCCAAAGTGGTGGATCGTTGAGGAAAGTCTCATGAATATTTGAGGCAAGTGGTAGGATGTTGCAAATTAGGAAAACAATCACCACACAAAGTAACATTGTTGCTAATCCAATTTCACGTCTCTGATGTCGTGAAAGCTGTTGCAAATCTCTGTTCGCTTTTCTCACCTGAAAAATGATATAATTTTATTAATAGTATTTAAAATTTTTTTTAACATCTTTAATTAATTTTTTTAATATAATAAATTTTTAATTTTATTTGAATTGAAATAAACACAAAAACTAAAAATTATAGAAAAAAAATTTATTTTTCTGTAATTGTAAAAAATTGTAACGAAACGAAATTGTAAAAAACGAATTGTAAAAAATATAAATATTTTTTATTGTAGAAATATTTATCGAAAATTATAATAGAAATATAAATAAAAATTAAAAAAATATAAAAGAAAAAATAAATTAAGAAATAATTAAAGTTTATTGTAAAAGTAGAATAGTGCAGTAATGACTGAATATTTTTATTTTTTTAGATTGTTGCATGACCTATATATTATTTTAATAAATGTAATAAATTTGTGAAAAATATACAAGCTTTAAATAGAATCAGACAGCGTAATAGCTTTGTTATCACTTTTGTATTTTATTATTTTTTTCAATTTTCTTTCTCTTTACTGATTTATAAAAAAATATGGAGCATTCATTAAGAATAATCTAAATCTTATGCATTTTTTAAACTATTATTTTTATTTTGTTATTGATTTTTATAATGTTTTTTTTCTTAATTTTAAATAGTAAAAAATACAAATAAAGTTATTTTTCCATTTATTACTTTTTTCTATTTTATTGTTGTCAATTTTAACTTTATTTATTAATCAATTTTAACTTTATCTATTTAATTATAAAAATTTTTTTAAAAAATATTATAGTGATAAATCATAAAAATTTAAAGACATAATACTATTGTTTAAAATATGAAAGCACTAAGAAATTAAAAAAAAAAAAAAACATTAAAAGTGAGATATTAAACTTAAATCTTAAAACAATTAAAATAATAAAATAATATATATTGAAATAAAGATGATGATAAAAATTTAGAAAAATATAAATTTTTTATTTATCAAATAATATATATTTTTTTTGAGCTCATTAACTCAAAAGTAGATAGTATATATAACTTGATGTAATACATAGAAATTTTGTCATTTATATTATTACTTATTCCAAAATTTTGAATCTTCTTCAAATTTACAATATATTTTTCCAAAATCTCGATAAAATGAATTGTTTTTTTCATTTCATTTATATTAACATATAAAAAGAAAGAAATAAGTATAATAAATACAATTTGTGATACCAAAACTTTCGAGAAATCATTGTTATATTATTAAGACAATTTTTTATATAAGAGATTGTGCAAAATTATGTGAAAATTTATTTATTCGATTTATTATTTTTTTTACTTTTTAAATAAAAGAGTTTATTATTTATTTTTTCGTTAACACTTCTTAAAATTAGTATCTTATTCATATTCATTAAAGAAATGATTCACACAAATTGCATCGTGTATAAGTGATATAAAAAGTTGTCTTAATCGTAATAAAATAAAGCATATTTGCTTTCGTGAGCTTTTGAATGAATAAATTTAAAAAAAAGAAGAAGATAAATTGGCCAAGAAGAAGATAAATAAAATGTGTACTCATAGTTCCACCCTAAAGCATACATTCTAGTTAAATTATCTATGTATTCATAAATTTACTTTTTTCTTTTTTTATCTTTGTGGTAATATGTTGTAATGATCCATTCATATTATAGTTTTTACCTGCTATTTGAATATAATATCTAAATGAAATAATTTAAATAAATGGTGGTGGATTTAAATTTCGCATTAAAATATAATTTTGTTTATTTAATATTGTTAAGTTAATTAATATTTTTATCGATAAAATATTATTGTATTTCGAACGATTGATTTATCAAATAATGAATGATGATAGATGTATGCAGCAATTTCAAATATATTTTTATTCTATTTATATAATTTTTATAAGAATAATATATATATATATATATATATATAATTAAACAAAAAAATTTATTTGATTTTTGAAGTTAAATTGCAAAGATAATATTTTCGATGATATTATGATTTTATAAAAATATTTTATAAAAAAAAATCGTATCTCTTGTTAAAACACATTCCATATTTTATTAAATTTGTTAATAAAAGAATTAATTGAAGAAATTCGTTTTTTTTTAAACTGTTTGCTTTCAGATATAATATTCATGAAGAAAATAAAATATACAATATGCTGAATAAAAATTTTAGAGAACTTTATAATAACAGTTAAAAGAATTTTTTTTTAAACATGTTGAATTTACATGATTCTATTGATATGAAAGTATCAAATTTTTGTGCATTTTTAAATTTTAAACGATACAAGAAGAAGATTATTTTACTTACTCTTCGATAAATAGCTACATTGAAGATCACTAAAGCAAGGAAAGGAAAAAGATAACAAATAAAGAAATACATCCAATGAACGTAAAGTGTGACATATAAATTGTTGCTTCTTAAATCAGCTGGATACACGCAATATACAGTAACATTGTATTTCCAATGAGTTTCTGTGTAGTACTCTACTTCCCAAAATCTGTAGAAAAAAAAAAATTATTTATTATAAGTATATTAACAGAATTATTCAAACTTCAATCTAATGAATATCAAAATTACTTACTTTGGTAAATTGTAAAAAAAGGAAAATATCAAAATAATCGCCACAGCTAATCGAGCTCGTCCATATGTACAAAAAGATCTAGCTTGTAAGGGGTGACATACTGCGATATATCTCTCAAGTGTCACAGTCAGAGTCAAATATACCGTTGCTATATGTGCCATACATGATAATGGATATAAGAATCGGACTATCTTCGGGTAGACGATGAACCTATAGTCGAACAGCAGGCCAGTGTATGTGTAAATTGCGATTAAGCCATAAATCAATATCTGAAAATGTCATAAGCTTTTTTTCACTTATTTTATTTGTTTCTGTTCATTCTTCAAGCGGAATAATGAAAACAGTTGAAAGTAGAATTAAAAAAAAAATTCTCTTCAAGTAATTAAGATTTTTTCTCAAATAATAAAAATATTCCGATTTAATTGGAGAAAAATTCCTTTATTTTTGAATTTAATATTTTTTGTATGTACAAATTGCATTAAAAATGAACCATATTTAAAAGTGAAGTCAAAAACTAATTATTTGAACACTTAAGAAATCTTGATATTAATTTCGAAATTATAAAAGATTTTTGCATGAAAATAAATATTTTTATTGAAATCAAAAATATATAATGAAAAATTTATTGAATATCAAAATGTATTGAAAAATTTACACTGTTATGATGTGTTAATATTTTTGTTTGAATTTATAATTTCTTTACATTTCTACATTTAGCTTTATATCTTTAATAAAACAATAAATTAATAAAAATTTTTCATCATCATACAAATTTATTTCCGAGAGAATATATAGTTAATAAATAAATTCGTGGATGATGAAATGTTCGTATGTTTGTATGTTATTGTGTAAAAAATTCTGTATCTTCTATTTACTTCATAAATAGTCATAATTTAAAATTCTACTTTAGCAAGCCTTTTAAGCTATTTTCTCGTATCTAGAACATAATGCCTGCATAAATTTTTAGAAACTTTTCAAGATCAACTGTTAACAATTTTTCTTCGAACATGTTTATTTTATTTTTTTTTATTAATTAATCTATTAACATATTAATATATTAATTTTTTTAACACATTTATTAATATTATAATATTACTTACCGAAATGATAATTAACATGGTGTCGCATCTGGCTAGACCAATTAGCAAATAATTAATCGATGATTTCATTTGCGGCCTCGAAAGAATGATCATCGAGATTGCGTTGCCAAATATTCCAAAAATTCCGATCAAATTTACTAGTATACCATAAATAATGAAATCGAAGAGACCGCTCGAATTGATTTCTTGTTTACACTCAAGTGGTTCTCTCGTATTCTCCTCGATCGATAAATTTTTCGATAATTGACTAGCATTGTAGTAATTAGTATAGTTCAAAACTTCGAGGTTTATTTCCATCGTTTTCAACTACCTTCGTTTCACTTTTTCGCCCGATTCTTCATTAGTGTTCTTCGTTTTATTTAGCTCTTACGTCACCATTTTTGATTATTTTTTATCTTTGTTATATTTATACATATTAATTCTTTTTATATATTAATTAATTTCTCCTATATTAAAGAAATATTTACTCACGAATGAATTTATCTTTATTATTTTACTTATATCTGTATAATTCAATTCTGCATTATATGATTTCAATATGCATTATATGAATTAAGATATTTATTATTTCATTACTTTCACTATCTTTTGATTTTGTAAGAATCAAGAATCAATAGTTTTGGTAACATGATGAAGAAGATTTTATCAAAATCTTAAAATGCTATCTTATTTCTTGTTGTTCTTCTATTTTCTTAAATATTATTGAATTTAATTCAATTTGTTTGGTCTTGATAAAAGTTTCGTAAACTTCTTGTATTTGCATCTGTAACGTATCGTAATTTTCCAACAATCGATAATTCGGTTTCCTTTTGGCTTTTATTCTCATAAATCTGTAATCAAAAATTGCGAAGTATGTTAAAATGCAATATCAAAATCACTTTTATTGAATAGAATAAAATATTATTTAATAATTAACAGATATTTACCTAATACATATATATATATATATATATACATAATAATTACAAAAAGTATTTGTAAATACCCTTACTTTTTAATGAAACATTTTTTTGTAAAATTTAAACAATATCAAATTTTTGTAAACTTAAAAGTACTATTAAATAATACAAAATATAATGTACTCGAATATAATTAATTAGTATATAAATTTTATGATATATATAATATAATAAATATAATAAATATATAATAAATATAAATATTTTCTTAATCACTATATCTATTCACATGCTTTCTGTAGAGAAAAAGAAAAAAATTCTAAAAAATACCGCCAGAGATCGGGAGTGTCGCTTTATGTTTCTATTCAAAACTCAATACGACGTGTATTGAAAGTTATATTCCGTGTTCTTTATCGCGTAACATTTAAAAACGGCGCGTGAAAAGTTTTCGTTGTGGGTGATCATCAAATTGTCAAATTTGTTGACTCTTCTCTAACGTAAAAGAAAAATATTTATACATATATTGCCTAACTATATTCGAATATATGTAGACATTAACTTTGACCTTATTAAGTAAACAGTAACACAGAGGGAAGGGAGGATATGTATACGCAAACGATATCCGATACTTGTGATTTAGTGATTTCATGACTTTGAATGATGTTTTAACTAATAATAAATTTTTTAATATTAACGGCTCAATGAAACAAACGAATTTTAATGAAATATAATAATGTAAGAATAAAAACGAAATCGTGTTTTATATCGAGAGTATTTCAAAGTTTGCTTGCTATTGTATACCAAGAAGGCCGATTGGATTAAGAAGCTGTGACGTTCTACTGAACTGTAAGTTAGAAATCTTAGAAGTTTCTATAAATAATGTATGGATAGAATACATCTTTTGAGACGACTAATAATTATATATATGATAACATATGGTAAATTATTCTCTTTCTATAGAAATATTAAACAATAAAAATACATATCTTAAATTCATTTCGAAGGTAATATTGTAATGTTACTGTAATATTACTATAGTATATATAAGATATATACATAACAAGCATCTCACTATATAACCTAAACATTAATTTGATTGAACATTTATTTTTCGATTGAAATATGCACAAGATAAATAAATTTTAAAAAGATTAAATAATTAAAGATAGTAATAGAGATTAAAATAAATAATAAAATGTAATTAAAATAGAAAATTATTAAAATATCGAATGTTATTAATATAAATGTCATACGAAAATTAATTTACCATTTTAAAGATATTATGAAAGCAAAAAAATATATCAATTAAATATTAATATAACGTAATATACGTAATATTAATAATATTAATAAACTAATGATTCGAATACATTTATGATTTTTTTGCAACATATCTTCGTTTCATAATTTTTATAAATGTTAATTAATTCACTTGAGATTTTATATGTTATATTATTTTGATATTTTTATGTTATTATTATAATAAGAATAACATTATTTTCGAAATTTATATATAATATATATATATATTGTTTAATATTTCATTGTTGAGTACTTATATTTATATGTTCAAAAAATAGTATAATTATTTGCAGAAAAATTTAATAAAAAAATTAATCGTTGAGATTATATTTATTGGTAAATATTAATTTGTTCGAAAAATAACGAGCATGATATTGTTGTTAATTTAATCGATCGCCATTATATTATTTCAAGTATCAATTGACATGTTTCAATCGTTAATTTATTTTTTCCTTATTTCCATTTTGTCAATTTTGTGCGAACATTATTTCAATGTTTTTTAATTTTTTGATTTAATATATCAATGTTTCTTCAATAAAAACTTTTCGAATTATTTTATCGAATATCGTGCAAATTTGAAAGAGTGAAATCTCTTTAAATCTCTTTCGTAATAATTTTGTAATAATAATTGTTTTAAAAAATAGAACAGAGTAAAAATACTTGGAAGCAAAAATACTTAGAAGCAAATAAATGTTTTATTTGTGGTTAAAATAAATAAATAAATAAATAAATAACAAAAGAAATTTATAAAATGAAATTCGTAAAGAATTTAATTTCTTTTTGCATTTTAAATAAATCTAAATTTTATCAATAAATTCTTTTAAATACTTTATTTGAAAATTATTATTTCCATTAATGTTGCAAGTTTCTTTTTTTCGATAATAATTTATAACAAATTACTTATTAATAAATGATATTTTTATAAAAATAATGCCTATATTTTAATATTATTGAATATTGATATTATATAATATATCATGTCGATAATATTGAATATAAAATTTATTAATAATATTTAATTAATAGTTGATTCAATATGATTTCAATATGAATAATGTTTCAATATTTTAAATTAAATTATATATTTTTTTATATAAGAACAATAAGATGCATATAATTAAATATAATATAGATAAAAAATTTATAAAAAAATGAAAAAATTTATATCGCTACCAAGAATGAGATATTTTGCATTGTAAAACAGTGTGTAATTTATACAAACAATAGATGACAGAAAAAAATTATATTTTTATTTTTTTTTATAAACATTATATTCATTGTTCATTAAATCATTTCATACAAAATAAAGATAAAAAAATATAAAATATTCTTTTTTTATCATCATTTAAGTTTCTTTCACAGATGACAAAATATTTTATAAATCGATTATTCACTACAAATTTTCGATTAATTATATATACATCATACGTTGTAATACTTTTGTAAATTGTAGATTTTATAAATCTATAAAACTAATTTATTAAAATAGTCGTGAAAAAGATATCACATTATAAAATATAAATGTAATAAATTGATAAAATGATTTTATTCTAAGTTTAATTGGGGATATAGTAGAAGAATGAAATGTTACAATCTTGTCAAAAAGAGATAAAGTTGCGAACATAACGTCGCGAAATATTTCATTATATCATAGTAAAATATCTATATTATTGTATAATCATTTTATCATGGATCTGATATCTCATTTTTGGTAGCGAAAAGATTAATAATAAACCTTGTTAACCAATAAATATTGAAAAACAATGTTCTAACCTAAAAAAAACCGTACGAAATTATTAGAAATTTTAACAAATTAACTTTCAAGATATTTGTATACATTTTGAAAAAGTTATTGTGTTGCATTATTGTAATGCATACGTAATAATATTCTTTCGTTCTTCGAAAGAATATTGTGTAAAAATTATCATCATCTTCTATAAATATTCGTTAGTCGTAGTTTAGTTTTCGAAGTAGCCAAATAATATCTTTGAAAGGTACGTACGTTCGAAGATATGCCAGAATTCAAATAAATTATTTGAGAATTATTTCAAGTATAGTAAGACCAAGTATATGGTGCATTAGCAACATCTCTTTAATCATGATTAAGGCTAACGACTGCATACATTGTTGTTTGAATTAACAGTTTAATGAAAACGACTCGTTGCTACGGCATCTCGCGTATAAAAGTGAATAGGGCAATATTTGTTGTCCTACATTACTATATCACAATGCTTGTACTTCATTCCCAATTGTAGTTTCTTGTACCCTGTTGTATATTATTAAGGTTTGTGTAATAGAAAATTTTTACAATTTTTAACAATTTAACATTTTTTCAAATTCATATAATAAAATTCTATATATAACTTATGAAAGATATGTCATATATATCTATTTTTATTTAGTTATATATTCATTGTAAGTAAATTTAACATTAATTTCAAGTTTATATAAATTCAAAATATAATTCAAAATTATGAAAAATAGATCATATCTATTTTTATTTTTAATTATAGTTTGTTTAAAAAAATTTAAACATGAAGAGATCAATTCAATAAATATTCTATCAAGAATAATGGAGTTTGAAAATGTTATATTTTCTTTGAGAATATAATTATTATTATTTGCTCAATTTAGTAATACAATTTTATTAATTTTTTTCATTAAATAGTTACAAGAAGTAAGTAATTAATTCTCGCGTGAAATCATTGAAAGTATGGATGCAATAGCATATAATAACGAGATCAATAGTTTCACCCTGGAACCGAGGTCGCTATCGTGATTAATGAACGAGTTATAATTACGGGAAGAGGACTAATAAAGTCGTTAAGACATCGTTGACCTTAAATTATCATTTATGAGTTATTTATTACGATTTGTCAGGTGAAGTATTTGAGAAGAAATGCGACAAAGCTCGAGGAAAACAGTTATGTTTTATTCATTCAAGCCTTTTAGCATTTATTTATTTTAATTCTTCATAGTTGAAAGAATTAAATGCACATCAAACGTATGCTATCAAAAAATGTGTTAACCATTAAGAGTTAATAATAATTTCGTTACCATATTCTGTGAAGATATGCTTTTCTTAGTTAAAGTTGACTCAAAAAACAGTGTCGTCTATATCATTATCATAAAATCAGTTTTTTAATTTTCTTTACTTTACATGGAAATGAGTTACTTATATATAGAAGGGCAAGTTATTTAAATATGAAAAAAGGATGTTGTAATTTTAAAAATTAGTTAAAAACTACTGTTATAGAATAAAAGTTCATTATAAAATCATTTCGATTCATCATAAAACTAGGCATTTTTTTCTCCAATCTTTTTTTGCCAATTTTAATCCGTTAATAAATTTTGCAATTTTAAATAATAGTGATTTTTTTTATAGGATTAAAAATAAATCAATGTTATAATCGATATTTTATGATATTTAATAAATTTTAGTTTTATTACGTTTACGAAAAGTTGCATTTTTCCATATTGCAAAATCGTTATAATTACACAGAACTGATGTCTTTTTATACCAAATGATTTGTAAAATGTTTGTATTTTTTTTAAAGATAGACAACAAATATGCACTTTTAATATGCAAATAGTAAAATTAGATATATTTAAATAATATATATTTATAA